AAACGGGGCTTATTTGTATGCGTACCGATTTCAGATCGTTATTGTCGGTTCGATGGTAAGTAATTACTAACCGTTAGGCGTCAGTGTTTTAAAAATAGGCGTGTACTCATCATACAGTACAGGTTTTTCTTATTGAGAGAAGCGATTTTACTAAAATTACAGGTTATTTTTCTACAATATCTTTTCGGATCTTCTTTACAAGAGGAAAATCTTATTTATTATTAATATTTTGAGAAAAATAGACTTTCGCAAAAAAATTTCCTGGATAGCAAAGAAACAGCAATTCGTCCCTTCTTGGACATTGCAGGGGCTTTTGACAATATTATCAATTATTAATACCTCACAAGGCGGTCAAGCGATCTCTGGAAACAAGAGGGGTGAACAGTACGATAATTCGCTGGTTCTGGAAAATGCTCTCAACATGGACAGCAGAGGCTGAGATAGGTACCAAAACTGTATATAGTATATTATACCGGGTGTTGCATCGTCGGACGGGACATAGGAAATCCCATGTAAATTTTAATGGGGTCAATTATTGGCCTCCCAATTATTTTAGAGAAGAATTCTATTTAGGTTTATTGAAGAGCACTAAAACCCACATTCAAAAGAATAACTTTAGATATTTTTGATTAGCTCGTTTACGAGTTATCGCCGATTTCTTTTTAAATATTTCTCCTTTCTTATGGCCCTGTATTTACTTATGAGCACCAGTCAAGGTAAAAGATAACTGTCAAATGAAGTTGTCATTTCAGAAATTTACGTATTTAGTGCTTTATTATTATTGAAGACTCATTCCTACATCGGAAATCTTAAAGATGTATTTATAAATACAAATTAATATGAATTAAAGTAAAATAAAGTAATCAATTACAAGGTTAATTATAGTATTATTACAATATTCAATAACTTATTAATTTAGGTACTATTAAATTGTTAGAACTTTGGGATTTAAGAAGATATTCAAATATTCCTCCATCGACTGCTAGACAATAATCCAGGCGATCATAAAATTCTCTTCTTACATTCTAGATTTGGGTATTTTTTATCCTTGTATATCCTGTTTTTTAAATGACCCCAGAGAAAGAAATCATTTGGCGAAATATCAGGAGACCTTGCTGGCCAATTTACTGTATGATTTAGGCCAATAACGTTTCCGTTAAAACTATTGTCTAAATATTCCCGAACAGCCAGGGTACTATGTGCCGGGCAGCCATCCATTTGGTACCAAACTTCCTGATTTTCCCTAGCGGCATCATGTAAAGCAGGTAAAATATGATTTTCGAGTAGTTCCAAATAATATTCTGCATTTAAATTTCGCGTAAGAAATATTGGCTCGATAATATTGTGTCCGAATATCCCTGCCCAAACATTTACTTTCTGTGCATATTGCGTCCTTGTTTCGACAAACCTGTGTTGGTTTTCTTTGTTCCAATATCGATAATTTTGAACATTGGATTCATTATTAGTAAACGTGCATTCGTCAGTGAAACATATGTTTTTTAAAAATTCCCTATTCGTGTTTGCTCTTTCCATCATATCAAAACAAAACGTCTGCCTTTTAGCTCTTGGTGTTTTTCATATTTGAAGGAATAGTATTTATGTCGTTTCTAAAATCGAAACGCTGTATAGTGTGATATATTCCTATTTCATCCTCAAGTTTCCTTGTGCTGATCTTTCCGTCGTTCTCTTCCACGCAAAATAAAACTTCCAAGTCGGTATCATTTCTTGCATCTTCACTTTGTTCCTGCCTTGCTTCACATCTGTAGTTATTTATTAGGGTACCTTTGGTCTCAAATCTCTGGATATTCCTTGCGATTGTAGATTTTCCAGGTATCGGTCTATTCGGATACAGAGCAGCAAACATGTCCGACACCTTTTGATAACTATTTCCTTGATAATACCATTTAATCATCAATACTTTTTCTTCGGTAGTGTAATTCATGGCTAATATTTTCGATGTAGGTATGAGTTTTTAATAATAATAATAAAGCACTAAATAGATAAATTTCTGAAATGACAACTTCATTTGACAGTTATCTTTTACCTTGACTGGTGCTCATAAGTAAATAGAGGGCCATAAGAAAGGAGAAATATTTAAAAATAAATCGGCGATAACTCGTAAACGGGCTAATCAAAAATATATAAAGTTATTCTTTTGAATGTGGGTTTTAGTGCTCTTCAATAAACCTAAATAGGATTATTCTCTAAAATAATTAGTGAAGCCAATAATTGACCCCATTAAAATTTACATGGGATTTCCTATGTCCCGCTCGACGATGCAACACCCGGTATAGTAAATTTTCTAATAAATGGTATAGAAATTTGGAAAAGTATAAACGGCATTACCAAACATTTTTTTTTGTCATTTTTCTCAAAATATATAGAGACATAGAGAGCATACCTTAAAACACCTATTTACGACAGCTATAAAATTAATAGGGGAGCCAATATTTGAACAGTTCAAAATTTGCATGGGATTTCCTGTTTCCAACGACGATGCACCACCCAGTATACTTTCTTGCCAATACAAGAGGCTGAGAATAGCATGAAGCCTTTATCAAAATTAAATAACTCAATTATTTGCAATGATGGTGCAATACAACCATTATAGAAGAAATCCAAAAAAAACAATTAATCTGGTATGGGCATGTAAACAGAATGGGAGAAGAAAGGCTAACAAAAAATATGATGAAATGGATCCCAACTGGCAAACGAAAACGAGGAAGACCCCGAGAGACATGGTTAAAGGGGGTAACAAAGGCAATGTCATTGCGCAATTTACAAGCCGACGACTGGATAGACAGAAGGCAATGGCGGCAAGGAACCGGAAGGCGGATCACGCTGTAGAACCGGACTTATAATTATTTGCAATTTATTTTAAAAATGATAAATAGAAAATATATTTCTTATATCCATATCTACAGCCCCTCATAATACTTGTAGGTACTTATTTGGTTTGGACTCTTGCTACGCATGGAACGCTAAAGATGGCCCCACCGTATCTACAGCTGGTCACCTCCTGGAAAAAGAAAAAGAGGACGGCCTAGAAGATCCTGGAATGAGGCGATCAGAAGGGCAATGGAGGACCGTAACTTGGAAGAGGAAGATGTTCTTGATCGTAACATGTGGCGGTTAGGCGTGGGGATGCGACGTTAGTTGCGACAACTCTGGAGTATATATAGGTACTTATTCGAGAGACCCTGTAGAATACCAGCGAATGAAAAATCAATATATTTAACCACTGACTAGATATGTACGTTTATCTTACTTCTGATTTTTATTAAACAAGTTACAAGAAATAATTCAACAACATAAAAATTTCAATACGGAGAATCATCAAAAACATCGATACTAGCTAATTTTAAATCTAGACAACTAAAAATGGCGATAATCTCAGAATATTGATTTGAAATCGTAAACAGTAAATTTTCTAATTTCTATATTGAAGATACATATAATAAAGTAAAATGCAACTCACTGCTAAATAGACATAACTTGGCAATATATATAGCTTAATATAAATTTTGTAGGTCTATAAATAGTACCTAATGAGCCTGCACCTTTAAACATAAATGAGACGAAGTATCAATTATTATTTATAATCTTCTGGACTTATCTACAGTTTAGTTTCACATAGACTTGCTTGAGAATTTGTGGGAAACAACAGAAAATAAATAACACTGAAACATATCCAATATAGAAACGTACATGTATAAGTTTCAGATCATTATTGTACATTCAACAGTGATTAAAAACCGTTAGGTGAAAATAATACCATGATAATTAAGTGTAGGTCTATTATCGGTAAATGCTTGAGTTAATTAAAAAACAGATTTTAATTAATTACTAGCGTTCTTGATGAGCTTAGTCTAATGTGTGTAGTAAATTATTATGTAATTAAGAACAGCTGATCTTTCATTAGTATACAGACAAAAATTAAGTTAAGTTAGATATTCAATTGCATTAAAGAATAAAATGAAGATAATCAATATATAGTGTAACACATTTTTTATCTTTGATTGTCTTTGATTTTTAAAGGTCTAGAAAAATTACTAGACGTTTTATCCTTAGATTATAATAAACGTATGCTTATTTGCTATACTTTGCATACAAATTAACAAGGTGCTAAAAAAATCCAAGCAGATACAACTTTTTCAAATATACCAAAGATAATACAGTGTGTCAAAAAATAGAGTACCAAACTTCAATTGGATTCTACGCAGATAAATAAAAAAAAAGTTCCTATGAACAATATGCTCTAAAATGCTTCCTGAAAAAGTTACAATCCTTGATATTAGGTCAGTCCTTATTGCTCTCACTTGAAACATCTTCTATTATTTCACAATGTAAATTGTGTGTGTATTTTAATACATTCCATTCCAATTCCTACTAATTACTACTCAAACCAGTTCAGCGTTTCCAATCAAACCAAACCACCTCACAAACTAAACGAAAAGTACATTGTTTACGTAGAAAAATCCTAGCGTTTGGTTTGGTCATTTGTTGAATTTACTGTATCTATTAGGATATACAAAAGTATCACCGGTACTATCGTCAACCCTAATGGGAAGTACCCTTTATGAACTGTTACGGATTTTTACACTAACGCCATTTGCTTTGGCCATAAAATGTGTGTAAGAATGCCAAACATCAAGAAAAACGGTCCCCCAATATTTTCAAAAATAAACAGCCATATTTTATTTTTATTTATCTTTCCTGGGGCTGTATAGTATATCCAACAACAGGATTCCTGACAGTGACATTTGTGTCTGTCATTTTAATTCACAGTCAAATTGTATTTTCTGTCATTTTTTGAATGTCGTCTGTCGAAATCTTCCCGGATTCGTAACACAGACTATAACTTCCTCGAAAAACATCTTAGGGCATATGTTCATAAAAACTTTGTTATTTTATTTTTATCTGTAGAATCGCTCACTGAAGTACACTCTTTTTTGATACCCTGTATAATTTTCAAAATATATTTAAATTATTTTACTCACCAGCTCAGTGCTCATTGTGTTACATCCTCGAAGAGGCAGAGTGTACGTTATTGGCGATTTTCGCTGGATCCATTCGCTTAGACAGTGAGTACTTTTCGATAATCCTCTTGGATAAATCATGCCATTAAATCTGCCAGATTTGGTACCAATATTGACCACTATTTCGTCACTGTTGCAGTCTACCCGTACATCAGCGTCGAACGTATCCGTAGAATCTTGAGCTTCATTTCTCACTGAAAAAGAATACAACAATTTAGTAAGTTCATAGTTTTAACATTTAAAAATTTACTATTATTATTAAAATCACCAAAAAAATAAACACATCTAAGAATTTTACAAAATAAAAATAATATTAATTAGGATGACGATGCAATGTAATCTAGGGCGTAGATATTACTCAGTGTCGACGCGTGTATCAATATTTTGGAGATGCATAAAAACAGTTAAGCACGTGCTGTGCTTAATAAAAATTAATTAAAAACAATACGCCCAGATTTTCTTAAATATTCTTGTATATATTATTCGTAAGCTGATATCTACATTCTGAAATTTTAAAATAAAGAAACAGTAGAAAAGAGACATCAACAGGCATATAGACAGAAACCCCAACATGGAAAAACCCGTGGCAGGATATTGTAATACCGTATGATCGAATAAAAACGGCGTCCAGTTGGCTGGGAAATGATGATCGATGACATTTCCCATATAAATTTACATATAATATGACAGCGATCTTCATTTCATAGCCATCGCCGACGCCGTTTTTATTCGATCATACGGTACTTCTGGTTAACAGTTCTAGGTTTTTAAATTTTAAAATTAAATATACCGTATGATCGAAAAAAAAACAGCGTCCAGTTGGCTGGGAAATGACGATCGATGACATTTCCCATATAAATTTACATATAAAATGACAGCGATCTTAATTTCATATCCATCGCTGACACCGTTTTTTTTTCAATGTCATTTTATATAGTTTTTATGTCATTTTATAGAATTATATGGGGAATGTCATCGATCGTCATTTAAAACATACAGGGTGGTCCAAACTGTATTCCGGAAACTTCGGCAGCGTATTCTGCAGATAAAAATAAGTAAAAAAGTTCGTATAACCTAAAATGCTTAGTTTCAGAGATACAGGGTGTAGAAGTTTCATTTTTACTTCGATTTTTTCCAAATAATTTCTGAAGTAACGTCAATATTTAAATGAAAATTGGTGTCTGGGAGTTTTTTTGACATGAGAAATTTGGGATTTTAATGTCATTATGACTCCTACTTGTAGGTGGCGCTACCTACGTATGTTTTAACTGTTTTGAAGAGTAATAACTTTTCGTCCGTACCTGCTAAAACTAATGAGTAAAAAAATATACATTTACGATGATTTTTATATAAAAAAGGTCTCTTGGTAAAAATGGCTGCGAGTAATGGTTCTCGAGATATTTGGATCGAAATTATCAATACCTGTCATCATTGACATAAATTAAACATGTTGACTAAATAGTTAGTAGAGTGCAATCATAAATTTGAAATGATTTTGAGTCAAAAGTTCAACAGAAACTGTTTTATCATCTTTTTTCCGCAGAAAAATGTATGATTAATTTAAAAAAATAAAAATTTCCCAAATTTATTATTTCAGTCCAATAGCTATCTACTCAACGAGTTTATTTATTTGTCAATAATGATATGTATTGACTAATTCAAAAGTAAGAATTTTAGGACTTACATTTATACAAACCTTTTTACTAATTTTGATCTGCAGAATATGCTGCCGAAGTTTCCGGAATACATTTCGGACCACCCTGTATATAAAGTATTGTTATCAAATATGTACAGGTTCTGTGCTTAATAAAAATAAATTTTAAAAACAATACTCTCATATTTTCCTAAATATTTTTAGGTATATTATACATAAGCTAAAACCTACATTCTGAAATTTTAAAATTAAAAACAGTAGAAAAGAGACATCAACAGGCAGATAGAACAGAAACCCCAACATGGAAAACTCGTAGTAAGATATTTTAATACTTCTGGTTAACAGTCCTAGGTTTTTAATTTTTAAAATTTAAATATAGATTATAGTAATATGTTACTAAATTCTAACATATCTCTAATAACTATTCGCGCGTTTTTCTGTTTTGACCTATACAGGGTGGTCCGAACTGTATTCTGGAAACTTCGACAGCATATTCTGCCGATAAAAATAAGTAAAAAAGTTCATATAAATGTGTTTTCTAAAATGCTTAGTTTCGGAGATACAGGGTGTAGAAGTTTCATTTTTATTTCGATTTTTTCCAAATAATTTCTGAAAAAAAAAAGAAATTTGATTTTGATGTCAAAATTACTCCTATTTGTAGGGGGCGCCACCTACATGTGTTTCACCTGTTTTGAAGAGTAATAGCTTTTCGACCTTACCTGTATTAAACCACTGACTAAAAAAATATACATTTCCATGACTTTTTATGTAAAAATTGTCTCTTGGTAACAATCGCTACGAGCAACCGTTCTCAAACTATTTAGAATGGAAATAGTCAATACATGTCATTATTGACAAAAAATAAGCACACGTTGAGTATAGTTATTTGACTGAAATAATAAATTTTTATTTTTTTAAATTAATCATAAGTTTTTCTGCGAAAAAATTATGATTAAACAGTTTCTTTTGAACTTTTGACACAGAAAGATTTCAAATTTATGATTTCAGTCTAATAACTATTTAGTCAACATGTGTAATTTATGTCATTGATGACAGGTATTGATAATTTCGATTTCAAATATATCGAGAACCATTACTCGTAGCGATTTTTACCAAGAGACCTTTTTTATGTAAAAAGAAGTCGTAAATGTATATTTTTTTGCTCAGCAGTTTTATACAGGTACCGACGAAAAGTTATTTCTCTTCAAAACTCTTAAAACACATGTAGGTGGCGCCACCTACAAATGGGAGTCATATTGACATCAAAATCAGATTTCCCATGTCAAAAAACACCCATCCACCAATTTTCATCCAAATATTGACGTTACTTTAGAAATTATTTGGAAAAAATCGAAATAAAAATGAAACTTCTACACCCTGTATCTCCGAAACTAAGCATTTTAGGACATACATTTATACGAACTTTTTTACTTACTTTTATCTGCAGAATATGCTGCCGAAGTTTCCGGAATACAGTTCGGACCACCCTGTATATTGTTAATCACTATTAAAAATAAGAATTTAGAAAAGTTGAAATTGCAAAAATATTTAAAGTCAAATAATAATGAAAATATATTAAACGGCTGAGAAGTAACATAAAACAAGACATTCTGAATTTGGTCCCAAAAAAATACAATAGATGGTCCTCTGTCTAGATTCTAGATATATCTTTTTTTTTTCAGGGTTGCCACCTACGAGGGTCAAACAGAAAAATATTGGAAATATTATTTTTATGATATATTAGTCTCCGTTATAATCTTGTGTACAAGGTGGTCCGAATTGTATTCGGGACAGATGAAAATAAGTAAAATGTTCGTATACATGTGCTAAAATGCATCGTTTCGGAGATACAGGGTGTAGAAGTTTCATTTTTATTTCGATTTTTTCAAAATAAATTCTGAATTAATCTTGACATTTGGATGAAAATTGGTGACTGGGTGTTTTTTGTCATGGGAAATTCAATTCCGATACTAGTATGAGACCTACTTGTAGGTTGCGCCACCTACATATTTTTTGTTTTGAAAATAAAAAATATGTAGGTATTAAATATTTATTTGGAAAAGACCGAAACAAAATTGAAACTTCTACACCCTGTATTTCCAAAACGACATGAATTTACACGAACATTTTTACTTATTTTTAACAGCAGAATAAGCTGCCGAAGTTTATCGAATGCAATTTGAACCACCCTGTATATGCAATATTTATTTACAGATCAGATAAGTAGTATGAAAAGTTAGTTATAAAACAAGTGAATGTAAGAAAGTTTGTTAATTATTATCTAACGTGTGCATTATAAAAAAACGTTTTTCAATTAGTACTAAATGTCTTTCGATGTCAAAATAACATTAAAAGGAAAGTGAAATTTTGGTCAACGCCTTACAGTGGGAATTGGGAATGGGCTTGCCACCATTTAATTCTATACTCACATTAGAGTCTATTAAATCTACTTTTAATTTTCACCAATCTTTTAAACAATGTTTGTTTTTATTTATATCACGCATTGTTCGTGTGAAAATAAAACAAACAAGGAAATTTCTATTTCTGTTAATTATTTGAAAATTTCGCGAAAATAAATTTCAGTTCTAACTTTACTGTATCTGTTATTGATATCCATAATAGTGGATTTTCAACATTTTTTTAAAAAATCTAGATATTTAGGTTCAAAGTTTTATTTTATTTTTTGAATTTTTTAGAGTAACAACAAAATTCAGAAATTTTTATTTCAAATATTTAAAATTTAAAACTTAAAGATTTAAAAATAAAAGATTATATTATTGTTTAGTCTGTAGTCAAATGAAACTGTATATAAACCAACTGTTTGTTTACATTGCTTGTATATGTTGGATTACAAAGGATTAAAACTAATTAATGTAATGGTTAGTCCATCTATCCTAATCTATCTTTTGTACAGGGTGTTCCATTTTCGTGTGTTTTACATGGTTTCTCGTTTATGCCTAGAGTTACAAAGATGCGATTTCCTCCTCACTGTCCTACTTTTTATATAAAACTAAAGATACATATTTCTTCTAGCCCTTCCATTATTTCCTGAAATACAGGGTAAATTTAAAAATGTTGCATTTTCAAACACCTTCGTATCTCGGTTATCTTATAACTTATCGAAAAGATAAAAGTGTTTCCCGTAGAATTTTTCACGTAGAATACAGTGGCGTAACTATTAGTTTTTTTGCTGGTATCTGTCATGCTTGAAATATGACCCAAACTTATATTTTTTTAATGAGAAAACCTGTATATTATTTTTTATATGCCTGTTTGGCTATTTCACATTCACAATAGTTTCCGTGTGTCAAATTTGGACAAGTGCATCAAAAATATCAATAACTCTGAGAACGTGTTATCTCAAAATGTTCATTTTCAGTGCAGTTTATTAAGATAGCATTTTTTAAAATAACATTTTTTGACTTAGTTATATAACGTCTAAAAATATAACATACTTTACACTTATATCCAAATGGATATAAGTGTAAACATAAAAAAGGTCTCTTGGTAAAAATCGCTACGAGTATTGGTTCTCGATAT